CACAGTTGTTTAGAATAAGTTAAGAAAACTCTTTTAAAGAGTAGTGTGGATAGTAAGCGTAGAATTGTTTTTAAAATTATGAGAAATAGTAATCTATTACTAATTGTCTGTGTCATATGATTGTTTTGCTAGAGTTTTTTTATAATAAGTTAAGAATACTCTTTTTAAACAGTAGTTTAGCTATTAAGTCTCAAACTTTTTTAAAGTTCAAATAAACGATAACCATCACTACAATGAATATGTGTATGCTATCTAACGTTACTTTCGTAACTTTGGGCGAAACTTTAGACAACAATCAAATATCCGCTGTTTAAAACAATTATCATTTTAAAAAATAAACACTTTTATTGAAAGAAAATAAAAAGTACATGTACAAGCTGTGTAGTGTCCCGCTACACACAAAGGGTATTGCGAACCCAAACAATCAATCAACCTCACTCATAAAAGCAAAAAAAACAAAAAGAAGATGGCGAAATCCATTGTTATCTGAAACAAGGCCTTGCACTAGAGGGGGTCTTGTTCTTCGAGTTGACATCTTAGACTTGTTTTCTAAAGATGCTTTCTGAATCTGTTCGGTGCATGGCTAAAGAAAGAGGGACAAAACAAGCAGCACTATATATAAATGTTAAGGTTATCCGCTGGCATGCCAAAGGGCCAAGGCTCGAGTGCTAGAAGTTGTCACATTGTCCTGAAAGCCTTCATTCATTGCTGCCCTCGGTTTGAGTTCAGACACCGCAAGTGGATAGGTAGGAAACCCAAAACCAGCATCTTCCTGGCAGTGTTCCTAGCAGTGCTTTCGGCCAAGTACAGCAGCAACACCAGCAGCAAATTGGTGCAAACCAGTGCCCCATAGTTCAGTTTCAGCTTCCAGTCCAATCATTTCCCCAAAACACAGTCCATGACCTCTCATCTAAGGTATTTGACTCCCAAGTGCACCTCAAAGTACCATCAGTAGACCACCTTCAAGTACCAGCCAATCAATGCCAAAGAGCCACACAGGATCCGGCAATCTGTCCAGAGTAGTCCCGGCAGTGGCCAAACAGCCTCCAAAAACTAGTGGCACCCCTGACCAAAAGCTAAAGGAAGAGCCCAAACACTGCCCAAACCACACTCCATTTCCTCTCCCTAAAATGTACTCAGCAAGAAGTGCCAATAAGTGGTCCAAGAAACCCCCGTACAAATAAAATATCAAAACAAGTACAAGACAAGTATCAAAATGGCCAAACATAACAAAGTGGTAATCCACGTCCTGGCTCCAGTGTCAGCTTCCAGTACCCCGCATCACCAGGCAGCAGTATAGTAGGTCAAAACGAGAGCATGGAGGGAGCATATGTTGGTGGCGTCTCAAGCCAAGTACATATACTCCCTGTCCAAGGCACATAAGGCACATGGTTACTAGTTCCCATCCAGCCGTCAATATCCAAACAGACCACACATGTCAAGAGTTCAATTTAGCCCCTACCTCATGCAAATGAAGTAAATTATGAAAAAAGTGAGTGTCCAAGAGGTTCAGGGAGGAGTGGAACGTTTACCAAGCCGGTATACCCAGGCAGCAGTTCCAGCAACAATGCACAGCCCAAAACCACAGTTTAATCCACTCTATCAGCCCAAAAACAGTAGCACCACAGTAGCATCCAGTGGGAAAGAGCAGCTGATTCCAAACTCAGCTTCAACAGTCCATGGTAGCAGCATTTCCAGCCCCATACTTCCCAAGGTACACCTGACCAAAATGAAACCATCAAAAACCAAAAGAACCTCAAATTCATCAAGATTCTCTGGTTTCAGCACCCATGTTCGTGCAGCAGGTGAGGACCAGCACAGCTACAACTTATGGTTCAAAAGATACATGGCAAGTACAAATACACCAAAGGTATCAAAAATACAAGGTTCAAAAATAATGTATTCCCAAGAACAAGCTCCAAAAATACAGTTAACACATTCATGAACATCACATGAATCAGTTGTGCAACCACCAACCGTACATTCAATGCAACTTTGCTCAATTATAGTTTCAATAACAGCATTATGGACTACTCCAAAAACCAACCAGAACATTGTTTCCCCAAATTCTTCAAATCGCAGGATGAATCAAGTGGAATTGAAATCCATGTTCATACCTTGGATTAGCAAACAATTTCTCTCAGAATCCTAAGAGGATGTCCTTCAATTCTGCTCGAGACAAGAGAAATCTTCGAATTTCAATTCGTAGATGAACAGTATCACTATTGTCGTTGACCTCCAAATCGCCACATACCAGCTCAAATAATTCCCAAATTGGATTCATATGTAGTTGCACACACATCATACGAACCAAGGGCTCCAAAAATCACGCCAAGAAGAGCTCAATTAATGGAAGAATCGAAGGGAAGAAGGAAATGAACAGTAATCTGAGTTACTGTCTAGCGATCTTACGCCCTAGAGAGAAACTCCGGCTTATGGCTGTGATTTTGAAGAAGATGACGGAAATTATCTCTATGGGAGAAAAATATTCTGAAGGGGACGGGATAGATGCGAAATTGGGGGCACTAGGCGGGCAATGAAAAATCAGGAGGGATTCTAAAATTTGAGAGGAACTCGAAAATTTTTAGAAGCAACAATCTGAGTTTTGAAACAAAAAAAGTTTTTTGGTCCATAAATGTCCATAAGATACCCATATTTTTGACCGTATAACATCATACCGGTACTGATAACTAAATTAATTACTTGCACAGTTCCAATTTGGCTGATCAAATGTTTAAATTCACCAGATCGGATATAATTAGATCTACAAGATACCCATATTGTAAGTATAACTTTTATTTTCTATTTATTTACCAATTATGTTTTTAAATAAAATTATTTTAAAAAAGATGAAATTCATATGATTCGATTAGATCTATTTTGGTCTAATTTAATCTAATTAGGTCCGATTTGATGCTTTTAAAGATTAGATTAGGCGAATAGGACACAAACTATATAAAAGTTTAGATTTTCTTTGAAGATTTGATCTGATCTTATTGGTTTTGATTTTGATTTGATTTGATTAGATCTTTTTTTGTCCGATTTGGTCAAATTAGGTCCGATTTGATGCATTTAAAGATTAGATCAGGTAAATAGGACACAACGTATACAAGTAAATAGATCTTTTTAAAGATTTGATCTGATCTTATTGGATTTTAATTTGATTTGATTCGATTAGATCGATTTTGGTATGATTTGATCTAATTAGGTCTGATCTGATGCATTTGAAGATTATATCAGGCAATTAGAACACAACCTATACAAGTAAATAGATCTTCTTTGAAGATTTGATCTGATCTTATTATATTCGAATTTCATTTGATCATATTAAATCTGTTTTGGTTTAATTCGATCTAATTAGGTCTGGTCTGATCCTTTTAAAGATTACATCAAGAAAATAGGACACAACATATATAAAAGTTTAGATTTTCTTGGAAGATTTGATCTGATCTTATTGGGTTTGAATTTGATTTGATCCGATTAGATCTGTTTTTGTCTGATTTGATCTAACTAGGTACAATCCAATGCATTTAGAAATTAGATCAGAGAAATAGGACACAATGTATACAAGTAAATTATCAATGTGAGTAACAAGTACAATTATCAATACTTATAAGATCTTATATGGTCAAAAGTATGAGTATTTCGAAGAATTGGATTTGTGCAATTACCTTGTTCTGTTATCAGTACCAGTAAGATCTTATACGGCCAAAAATATGAGTATTAAAAGAATCTGATCTATGCAATTATTTGATCTAGTCTAATCTGATATGATGAGATCTGATTTCATTAGATATCATCTAAACAACATATAAACATAACTTGACTGATCTAATTCGAATAGATCTAATCTGCTTGATCTAATTGTAGTTATATTTAAAACTCTTTTAATTTGATTTGATTTAATCTTATTGGATGAGATATGATTTGATTAGATATCATCTAAACAACATATAAACATGTTAAACTGAGATGCAGTTATGTGATTTGGTATAATCTTATCTGTCTGTGTTTTTTTGAAATACATTAAGTCGGGGGCGACTTTTTTGGTCAAACCATGACACACTTTGAGCTCAAATTAAATATAATTTTAAATAATTATATGTTGTAAAATTTAATATATCAAAACTACAATTCAAATTAAAAACATAAGTTTAATAACTTTATAGTATAAATAAATATACTTTTTCCATAAATTATAGTCAAAGTGTTGCACAATTTGACTAAAAAAGTCAAATTGTGACAATTTTTTTGGAATGGAGAAAGTATAAAATTTGGTAAAACTTTTTTTTAAGAATATATTTTATAAAATTTTTGTTGTGAACGAAANCTAAATGTACTAGGTAACATAAACTTGTGTACTAGCTTGAGGATGACATGTATGAGATAAGGATTGAATTTGCACGGCATTTCATGATGTATACTTGTGGGTTATTAACATCTTTTTCCTTTCTTTTATACTTGTGGGTTATAGAATACGTCTTTCATCCTATGCAAAAAGTAAAACCCCCCACTTTTTTAAATCATGTTATTCCTATACCAAAATAGTTTTTTCCGGGTAATGCTAACTCCACTTCACTATTTTCATTGAACACCTGAGCAGATTCTTCCACATTTATATGAGGCATTAATGGAGGTGCAATAGATGCTGAAACTTGCATATAAATTCCTGGATACCAAATTGAAGAGCCTCTTGTTGCTCGAAGAGCAGGTTGTCGTTTGCTGTGAAAACCAACAATCAAGCTGTCTGTTATGAGGAATTTCACCTCCTGGTCCTTCATTGAACTTGTCCCTTCAATAACAAGTTCAACCAACTCTATGGAATGGCTAGAGATTATACGTTCTATGTGGTTGTCTCCAACAATTGGTTCTTGATTCACAACGATCATTTCAGGAGTTATTGGGTTTCTGCTGGCAGGTGGGAGATTCAAGTTCAATCCACAAAGATTCTCAAGAATTGGGTTCCTCACTTGTCCCTCTGTAGGTGCAACAACCCGTATCATAAGAATAGATGGATTGAAGAGAAAGGCATGTAAAATATGTAAATTGTAAGGAAGATGATGTAAATATTAAATTATTTCATATTAATAATATTTTAAATGTATGAATTTATATATTGTTCAATATATTGTATTTTTTGAATTTATATTTATATAATAATAAACACAAGATTACAGATGTCTAATAAAAAATTCTACTACCATTCAAACTAATGGTTTGAAAAGTGTATGTACAACTACACAAACCCGTAGTGTTAATAACATTTAGACAATCAAAACAAACAGTTGTTTGAAATACTAAAAAAATAGTAGTTCATATTTTTAAAATACAACGTGAAATAATAGTTGTCTGAAGCAAATTTCTTTAGTAATCTTTAGAGTAGCTGTCTGATAAACAAGTTAACTACTGTCATAAAAGATAGTTTGAATACTTCAAGGAAAACTACAAATAAGCGTTGTGTTAATAATCAATATGCAACTAAAACAAACAGTAGTTTGAATAAGAATAATGTTAGTAGTCTATATTCTAGAAATACAACAAAAGATAACAGTTGTCTAATGCTATTTTTGTTTAGAAGTCTTCCGAGCAGCAGTCTGATATATCTTTCAATTACTTTTTAAAGTAGATGTCTATATTGTTGAACGACAACACTAAGAATTAGGAGTCTGAAGTTAAAAACAACAGTAGTATTCATTATAGATAGACAACAAAAAATCACAGTTCTCTTTAACTCTAAAAAACAGATGTCTTACTCATACAAGGACAACACTAAAAGGTGGTACTCTAAAACATTACAAAACAGGTGTCGTCAACCATTTTACACAATTGTTTTTAAACAATAGTCTGTAAATATATCAGACAGCTGCTCGGAAGACTACTGAAATCAGCACCGAGAGACTACTAAAAGAAACAGTTGTCAGCATCTGTTTTTGACGTAGTGCTTCTAAGCAAGGTCCACAGCAGCCCATACTGGATGCAATATCCCCTGCAGTTTCCAGTGAAGACAACTCCTTTCTTTTACAACCTTACACAACAGAGGAAGTGAAAAAAGCAGTCTTTGCTATGCACCCAGATAAGGCGCCAGGGGTCGATGGTTTTAACCCGGGATTTTTCCATCATTATTGGGATATTATTGGGTCAGAAGTAGCAAAGTTCTGTATAGGACATCTTAATTCTGGGACTATTCCAGTCACTCTTGTTGTTACAGAAATTGTGCTTATCCCAAAAAATCACAACTAGAAGATATGAGATATCTCCGACCTATAGCTCTCTGTAGAGTGCTTTATAAAATTATTAGTAAAATGATGGCTTCTAGACTGCAAACCATCCTTCCAAAGATCATTTCGCCAACCCAAAGTGGTTTTGTAGCAGGTCGGGACATTCACGATTGTTGTGCCATTGCCTTTGAGACGCTGCACCACATAAGGAATAAGAGAAGAGGGTAATCGGGCTGGGCAGCAATGAAAATTGATATGAGTAAAGCTTATGATCGCATGGAGTGGTTTTACTTAGAGGCTGTCTTGCACGCTATGGGCTTTCACGTGAAAGTAGTATCTTTGTTGTTAAGTTGTGCAACCTCTGCATCCTACACGATTCGGCATGGGAATAAGTGCATCGGTCCCATTATTCCTAGTCGGGGCATTAGGCAAGGTGATCCTATTTCACCTTATCTTTTCATTATTAGAGCTGAAGGTCTATCACGTTTGTTACAAAAGCAGTCAGTATGGAGGAGGTGACGGGCTGTCGAGTAGCACGCGGAGCACCAGAAATCAGCCATATGTTTTTGGCAGATGATAGCCTCTTTTTCTTCAAAGCTACAGATGCTCAGGCAACTCGCATCCATTCTATTTTGAGTATTTATGCCACCGCATCAGGACAATATATTAACTTGAATAAATCTACAGTTTGCTTTAGTCCAAACACATCTCCCTTATTGCGTGCTAGTATTTGTGCTCAGCTTGGAATAACAGAGACGGAAGAACTTGGAAGATATCTTGGCCTTCTAGCTTCTTTAGGGCGGAACAAAAGAGAAGCTTTAAGATATATCAAGGAAAAAACTTGGAAGCGTCTCCACTCTTGGAAAAATAAACTTCTTACGCAAGCAGGTAAGGAAATTCTACTTAAATCTGTTCTCCAATCGATCCCCACCTACGCAATGTCTCTCTTCCTTATTCCAAAGACTATGTGCGACGAACTTCAAAGCCAGATGGCTAAGTTTTGGTGGAGCAAAGGCCCGCAACATAATAAGAGTATCCACTGGATGAGTTGGGAGCGTTTGTGTCGACATAAAGACTCTGGGGGACTTAACTGGGGGACTTAACTTCAGGAGGATTCATGAATTTAATCTCTCCATGTTGGCAAAAATGGCTTGGAAATTTGTCCAACACCCTGATCTTCTGGTTTCTAGAGTCTTCAAAGCCAAATATTTTCGAAACTCAAGTTTTTTGGAGGCAGGAATTGGATCTACTCCAAGCTATGTTTGGCGGAGTATTTTACAATCCCAAAGGGTCTTACATAGAGGCCTTCGTTGGAAGGTAGGAGATGGTTCTTTGATCAATATTTGGGAGGACCCTTGGCTTGGAGATAAGGATCACCCGTGGGCTTTGACATGGGATCCAGGAAGGCAGGATATTCGAAAGGTTGCGGATCTGATTAAAGATGGAGTTTGGGACTGGCAAACAATTGATTCCATTTTTGAAGTTCGAGACCGTCGGCTTATTCAAGCAATTCCTCTCTCACACTCTGCCCAAGTTGATAAGCTCATTTGGGCTAGGGATAGGTCAGGTCTATATTCGGTAAAGAGTGCATATCGTATGCTAACATGGGATGAGAGTGTGGTCAATGACAGCACGCACAACAGCTCGAAATCAGTGTGGCGGAAACTCTGGCGAGTCCACACCACACCTACTATTCGTAATCTCATTTGGCGTGCTGCAAACAACATATTGCCGGTGCTAGATAATCTCGCACGTAAAGAGATGCCGATTCAAAATACATGCCCGTTGTGCCAATCCTCCGAGGAGACGGTGTTGCATCTCTTTGTTTCTTGCAGCTTTGCACGACAGGTGTGGACATCCTCCATCTTGGGCTGGTACACACCCCATGTCAATGGGTTCGCCGTTTGGCTAGAGAAGATTTTCAACCTCTTCAACTAGAGAGATCAAGCATTAGTGTTTCATGTATTGTGCTCAATATGGAAGACCCGGAATGATAGAGTTTGGCGGGGTAGAAACTCGGCCCCAATAGGTACGTGGCTAAAAGCTAAAGCTCATTTTGAGGAGTGGTGGTCGTTAGCTCCGCCAATTGCAGGAACGCCAGAGGGGGCCACAGGAAGTTCATGGTCAAGACCACGTGATGGATTTGTGAAGGTCAATATTGATGCATCCACAGGCTTGATTGATGATATGATGGGAGTGGGTTTCATCGCTCGCAATGAACTTGGAGTATTTTTGGCGGCCAAGAATACATCTTTCAGGGGCAGCTACGGTCCCAGGGAGGCAGAGGCGGTGGCAGTTAAGGAGGCCCTTAGTTGGATCAAATCAAAAGGTTGGATGCAGGTAGAGATTGAAATTGATTGTAAGGAGGTTGTGGATGCACTGAATAACCCTTCCGATGATTGGTCTTATTTTTCTTCGATTATTACTGATGGTAAATCCCTATTGACTTTGTGCGATGGGATTTTTTTATTTTCACTTTGTTTATCGCTCTGCTAATGAGGCGGCGCATGTACTAGCGCGAGCTTCTCATTCACCTCAGAGCAGGGGAGAATGGAACACTTCTCCCCCCTGACTTCATCATATCATTAATATAATTTTATTCCCTTTGCTTAAAAAAAAATACTTTAGCTTAACTCTAGTCAAGGACTCTGATCCTTCGCTCCCGTCAAGGGTGGCAACCCCATGGACCTCGTCGTTAGGGTTGCTGTAGTGACTAATAAAATAGTATGCGCTTCTTCAGCGATGGAGAGAACGTGACCATAAAAAAATAAAGGACTAGAGTATCTTACTGGTAAGCATTGAAATGTCCATGCTCATCTCCCTCTGGTAAGCATTGAAGTGTCTTGGCCCACGGTAAAGGAGTGGAAGCATGTGTGAGGATTCAAGAATTAAAAATAATAACGGAATAATTCTTCTACGCTACTATGTTAATCAAAATAATAGAGACTGCCCGCAAATTATATTATACATCCAGCTATACCCAAAGATGGGTACAACCGGTAAAAGGAAACAGAAGATGCAGGATCGAAGAAGTTCGCGAAGGAGGAGAGGAGGGTGACGATCGAAGAAGCCCGGCGAAGGAGAGGCCATGACAAAGGGAGGCACGAAGATCGTGAGGGGGGGAAAACAAGGGAGAATGGTAGATTGAGGACAAGGGAAGGTGATGGTGGCGGCGGCGTTACGGGAAGCTGGAAACCCTAGGTGGACTTGAAGAGAATTTAAGGGGTGGAATGAACTTAAGCAATCGGAGATAATAGAGCAAGATCCGAAGAAACGAGGGGCAATGAAGAAGCGCAAGGATGATGATGGTACTGAATTTTTCAATTGTGAAAGAATTAAACAATGCTTTATTTGAGAATGAGCATTTCCTTATTTGAGAATGAGCATATCTTTTTTTAAGAATGAACACTACACTATTTATTATAATTATATTAGACAAATATGTAAAAATGAGTTCTTTATTTTAAAGTGAGTACTACCTTATTTCAGAATGAGTATTACGTATTTCGAAATGAATGTTTATATTTGTACGAGAATGAGTACTACCGAAATTAAATATACCTATCTCTAGGTACATCCAGATGTATCATATACCTTCTCGAGACTACCCTCCTTTAGATAGAAAGCATAGAATCAAGATAAATATGGTAGAGATCTGGACTTACCAAACTATTGGCTACCAAAAACTCAACTCCTAACAAAAGAAGGAAATAAACTAAAAAGAATTCATTGAATCTCCCAAGAGTAGGGTTTGAGAAAGAAATGAATTAATATGATAATTAATCTTATAAAAGATAAAGTATTTATGGAGTGATCACGGGTCAATAGTCACTCATTTAGGCCCTATTTTTAGATTGAAATTTTAGAGTTGAATATTGGAAGGAACTGAAAGAAGTTGGAAGAAACTTGAAGGAGTGGGAAAAAGTTAAAAAGAGTTGGAAAATATTAAAAGAATTTAAATGTTAAAAAGTTACTCAATTAAATGATCATACAAATATATATTTAAGAGAACTCTTATTTGGGGTAAAAAAATTCATCATTATATGTGTTTGATGTGATATGTTATAAACTTGGATATATAACATTAGTTTATATTTATCATATATAAATATATTTTTTAAATCGTTGTTAAGAAATTGAAAGGGAAAATTCCATATATGGTACCAAAACATGAACTGTTTCCACAAATAGGACTAGTACTACTGCCTATTGTTTTTAAATCACGTAAGAGAAGCAAAGGGACCAAAATACCCTCAACGCGCCTGACTAGGTTGGCATTGCTCCACCGAAAATTAATCCGTCAAAACTCAAAAGGGCTAGCTTTTCTTTCCATGTACAAATAGAGTTTTACAAGGTAGTGAGAAAAGAGAAACCACAATGTAATTCTATAAAAATGATTTAAAAGTATTATACAAAATTAAATATGTGCCACTTTGTGAAAATGTAAGATAAATAAGTGATATCACTAAAGGCATATTTAAAAATATAAATTTAATAAAAATACAACATCAATGTCCTGTGTCGCCTTGAATAACGTACACCGCGTAATGTCTCATCTTAATGTCTATTGATCTAACATCAAGACATTGAGGTAAATTCTGACCTACTCACCAATTAATTTTTACTTTGGATAGACATTGTTTATTCTGTTCAATGTCTTTGTTTCTACAAAAAAACAATATTCATTACAATCAATGTCCCTGTGTTTAGAAAAAAACAAAGTACCCAATGATCAATATCCTTATTGCTACAAAAAAAGAACGATTTCTACAGCGATCAATGTATTTGTTTCTATAAAAAAGAACAATGTCCAGGGCAGTCAATGCCCAATTGTTTCTATAAGAAACAATGTCTACATCGTTCACTGTCCATGTTTCAACGTACAATGTCCTTGTTTACATAAAAAAGAATAATGTCCACAGTGTTTAATGTCTTTATTTCTACAAAAATTAAAAATAATGTACATGATGTTCAATGTTTTTGTTTCTATAAAAAAGAACAATGTCCATGGCGGTCAATGTCCTTATTGTTACTCCATATAAAATAATGTCCACATCGCGTTCAATATCTTTATTTGTACAAAAAAATAGTTCCACCACGCAAACACGCCCATAAAGTTAGAAGATTTTTTCTTTAAGGAAAAAATTCATAATGCTTTTCAAGATTGGAGACTTGGAGTTGCGATTGTAAGGTTAATTAAGGAAACAATTATATAGTTCCATTAGGAATTGAAATCATATACTCCATACTATATTGGAATACGAGAGATGTTTGTTTGGTAGGCTGGAGGTTAAAATTGGAACTTCTTGACAAAATATGTACTATTTTTAGAAAAAAAGAAGTAAAGTACTAGATAGGGAAAGGTGTAATGTTTTAGTGTCATTTACAGCAAATTTCACAAATTGAAAAGGTTAGGAATAAATTAAAAAAATTAGAAAAATTAAAAAAAATAGAAAAAATTGAAAGTACACTCTTCCAATCCAAGAAAGAGAACCTTAGTAACCAAAGGTTAAGGGGCTGTTTGTTTCAGCCTCTTAATGGTTCAGATGTCTGAATGGTTCAGCACTTAATGGTTCAGACTGTTTGTTTCAGCCTCTTAATGGTTCAGATGTCTGAATGGTTAAGACATTTGCCTCTGAATGATTAAGTATTATACAGAGTCTGAATGGTTAACACCTCTTATCTGAATTGATCAGACATTTGCCTCTGAATAGTTAAGCAATATACTAGTTCTTAATGGTTTAGACCTCTTACTGGTTCAGCACTTAATAGTTCAGACCTCTTACTGGTTCATCACTTATCTATTCAGAAGTTGCCAAACAGCCTCTAAGTCAAGTTGATAAGTTTACAAAAATCAAGCAATGATGGGAGAATCTCATTTTTGGTATAAAAAATAATGTCACATGTGAAATTCTCAAAATTTAATTCTCCAAATTTTTCCCATAAAAATATTGTCTTACTCTTTAATTCGTATATACTCCGCATATATATACTCCAGGTCTGCTAATAGTCAAGCAGCAAGCAATTACGAGTACTAATCCCCGCAAAGAGCAGTTCGCAATGTCCGATCTCAGTTCTTCCCTCCCCGCGGCCGCCGCCGCCGGTAATTTTTCCGTTCTACATGCCGCTGTATTCAGGCTTAGCTATTTCAATTTCATCAGTTTTTTTGTTCGCCTTAATCTGCAGCTCTGAGCGCAGAGGATCGCGACGACTTAGTTAATGTGTTGAAGGTGGTGAATTTTCACTATATTTCAATTCAAATTTATGTGTTGTTGTGTTCTCCGCATTGAATTTATGCTGTTTCGGTTACTGGAAATATGATTCGTATGCCATTTGGCTTTGATTTTGTGGAATTTGGCGGTGTACTGTGTAGAATAAGCTTCAGAGTTTGGCTGTGCGGGAGTCCGATATGCTGAAGAATTTGACACCGAGTGTACGGAAGCACGTAGAAGCCCTGAAACAGATTCAGGTTTGGTTGTGCTTTGAAAATTTTGATTCATTTTCAATTTTAAGACTCCACTAGGGCCGATTTACTTGATTCTTGCTGAACAAAAGGGATTGTGATGATTTTTGTATTTGCAGAACCAACATAATGAATTAGAGGCCAAGTTTTTTGAGGGGAGGGCAGCGCTTGAAACTAAGTACCAAAAGCTATATGAACCTCTTTACACCAAGGTAAAAAGTACTTCATAATAGTTATTTAAAAAAAATATATACTCCTTAATAGTAATCTCTCAAATATGACCCCCTCTACTTACACCAATCACCAATGTTCTACTTCTGCGCTTCTACTCCCCTCGGTCCCATTAAAAGGCTTCTTGTTCACAAATGTGCAATTGTTACATTTTAATATGGTACAACTATTGAAAACCATCAAATTTAACACTGAACTTCTTTAGCACACTTTTTAAAGTTTTTTTTAATGATTAAAAACGTTAAACATATGAAAATTTGCGTCTTTCGTTCAAATTGCACTTTTTGGGACAAAAGTAAGTTTAGAAACATACTCTGTTTGGCAAGAATTTTAGCGTTTAGCTTCCGCGTTATGCTAATGCTATCCAATTCTAGCTTTTAGAGTTAGCATTTTCAAATTCATTTGACGTCATTAAAACATGATCGTAAATGCTATTCATGAAAGTTGTTCCCAAACAGAAGCCATACTCTGTTAATGGGACGATGTGAGTATAACTGATGAAGTCATTTATTCTCGATTATGTACGCTTTGAAAAAGTTCATCTTATTCCTGATACATTTGTTAGAGATATGAAATAGTGAATGGCATTGTCGAAGTTGAAGGTGTTAGTGAAGTGTCTGGTGATCGGGGAGATGACAAGGGAACTGAAGGTGAGGCATACTTGTTCATGCCAATTGTACAGTTTTAGGAGTTCTTGTGACAATTTGGTGTTTAGAAATGGCATTCTGTTTGAAAAAGAGAATCATATGTTTGCAGAAAAAGGCGTGCCCAACTTCTGGCTGAATGCAATGAAGATGAATGAGATATTGACAGAAGAGGTAAATGTCTTGAGATTCATTATTTCATCAATGGAGAATGTCTCTCCCACTTATAACTGTTGATGAGATTAGTTGACATTACTCAATTCAGATCACAGAGAGGGATGAAGAGGCTCTAAAATATCTGAAGGACATAAAGTGGTCTAGGCTTGATGGTACAAAGGGGTTTAAGCTTGAGTTCTTCTTTGACACCAATCCTTTCTTCAAGAACACTGTCTTGGTGAAAACATATTACATGCATGACGATGATGAGCTTATATTGGAGAAGGCAATTGGGTTTGTTTGTACTTAATTAACATTTCTAATCTTTAAATCTTATGTCCTGCTCCTTAATTTATACAAAGTTTTTATATCTAATGTGTTATAGGACCGATATTGAATGGCATCCAAGTAAATGCCTAACTCAAAAGGTCCTGAAGAAGAAACCAAAGAAGGGTTCAAAGAGTGCAAAACCAATAACTAAAACTGAAAAGTGTGCTAGTTTTTTCAACTTTTTTAACCCTCCTGCAGTTCCAGATGATGATGATGAGGAGGAAGAGGAGGAGGATGTAGGTTATTACAGTTTCTATTAATATAAGTACCATGCTGCTTGATAAGAATGTATTGAAATCCACATTACTAACATGGATGATTCCTTGAGCAGGCCGAAGAACTCCATGAGCAGCTGGAACAAGACTATGAGATCGGGTGTGTGAGGAATCATTTTTCGGATAGTGGCTGAGGAACTTGTTCATTTTCTGATTCGTAAATTTGGTAAACGAATGACATCAAGCATTTCTTTTTGTGCAGCTCAACTATTCGAGACAAGATCATCCCTCATGCTGTATCATGGTTTACGGGTGAAGCTGTTGAATTGGATGAGTTTCAAGATACAGAAGAAGAGGATGATGAATGTGATGAAGATGACGATGAGGATGATGATGAAGACTCTGATGATGAGTAACAGTAAGGTGAACTTTTAATTGAACCTACATATTTGCAGAGATTAAGGCTCCATTTGGTAGCCATAATGAGTTCAATCTGCTTATTTGGTTGGAATGAATGTTACCAAACACGCCCTTTTAGAAATTCCTCCATTCCAGCCAAATTGCACTTGCTTAACGTAGAGTAACATAATTTGTTCATGTGCGTGAGCACATCTTTCACACTAATGGAAGATATATTTTGAATAACAATTAAGGTATCAAAATCATAAGAGATCAATAACCTTATGTAAAATCTTTGTTTAGTGGCGAGACATTTTCACAATTTTAATTCTTTTGACGTTCAAAATGGTTCGGTAAATTGCAGAAAAATGGTGTGAAGAGTCAACCGAGCGAACATCCTCCGATTGAAGGCCTGAAAAGTTATACTCCGTACATATATAGTCTTTGTTGTCTTTGGTCTCTACTTGTGCTTTTTTCCTTCTGGTTATCATTTTCCATTTTTGGGACTTTATTTTCCTGCCCATTCGTTCCTGAGTATTTGTCAATTTTTTTTACTTTTGTCATTAAAAATGGTGAATTTTGACTTCTAATTAAATAAAATTGATACTCGTATTAGATATTGAAAAAAAGTAATTTTATTAGATTTATTATATACCCAGTAAAGTATTTTTAAAATAATATTTTACCTAATTAATATACAATATATCTTTTATTTAATCGTAGGTTAAAGATTGAAAAAAGATTAACTGAAAAAAGTCAGAATTAGATAAACACTTAATAAAGTTAGCTTCATTGGAAAAATCTTTTCACATTTTGACATTTTAGGCAAGTTTATGAACACTAAGGGCCCGTTTGGGTGGAATTGAATTATCTAATTCTAGTTCATTTTTGGCGTTACCACTTCCAAATCTATACATTTTTGTGCTACCAAACAGTAGAATTGGAATTGTTGTCTCCAATTCTAATTCCATAGTTTGAATTTCGTGTACCAAACGGAGCCTAATATAGTTTAAATATATAAATGTTATAAAAATTTGATATATCAAAATTATATCTTAAAATATACTCAATTTTAATTTTGTTAAATTTATACTCCCTCCGTTTAAAAAAGTGGAATGTACATAAATAGTACTAAAATAAAATGACTTTTCTTAAATAACATCATGTGTTTTTATTTCTCAATGTAACACTTTTAATCATTATTCAAATAAATGTTAACCATCACTCGACATTATTCCTTCTTCTAGACATTATTAAGTGTTATTTAAGGAATAAAAAATTTAAGTTCTATATTGAAAAATGACTTATGTTTTAATGATATTTAGTGCAAATGTTTCTTTAAAAAATTGTTTTAATTTACGTCCATTTTTACATATCGCACAAAATATTTTTACCACAACTAAAATACTAAAAAATAAAGTATTTCTTCTTGCAGTTGAGGAGTAAAGAGGTATCTTTTGCATTAATATTAACCACATGCTTTGCTAAGGACCTTATGGTGTTGTAGCACCGTTGTGGCTCTACATTGTAACATAGTTTTTTTTTAATTTTAAATTTACCCCTCTTATCTTTTGGACTAGTGGAAAACCTATCCAACAAGAGAACCCTCTGTGGACTTCTCAATCTTCTTCTCAATCTTATCCTACTAGAATGTATTATTTGGTCTTTATGGAAAACTTATAATGGAAAACTTATAATGGAAACTGATGGTGTAAATTACTTGACCGGTCAAACTATACTAGACCGGGTCTAGAATAGTTGGCTTGATTTAGTAAAGTAAGAAAGGTAAAAATACGCAGAGTGACCGGTAGGACTTTAGGTGGAACACCTGTAGCCCAATTTATATTATAACAGAGAATGCACGGGTGCTTTTACAAGGGAGTTTAGAGAGAATGAATTCGGATCCCTCTTTCTGAGGTTTACAGCAGTATTTATACTAGGCTAAAGGGGGACAAGACCACGTGCACCCACGTGGAGGCACGTTTCTCGGATGGTGAGAGGTAATGGGCTTCGTCCTCTAGCTACCTTGTCACCTTGTGGGAGGGATTACTTCCTTTGTCAGGTAGTGCCTTGGATGGATTCCTCAAGCATCTCCAGCAATCCTCCACTGATCTTGGTCGCTACGGTCCAAACCACCTCGGATTCTCTTTTGCCGACGCTTTCCAACCCCAGAAATTACACCGGGTAATTTCTGAGGGATGAGTTCATCGAAATTAGGGAATGAATAGAGTGATAAAGTCGTTTGACCGGTATACTTTTCCTCGAAGTACACCGGTCATATTCGGACCCATCAAATATTGGTTTGCCGACGATTAAAGTCCCCTTCCTAAACTATCAAGATTGACCGGTCAACTTATTTGGTCTTTTCCTTTGACCGGTCATGGGTGGAATACACCCATCAATAAGCCCTCCACTTCTCGGTCATGCAATTTGTCATGAGCGGGTAGTAAAAAATCTGAAACAGGACTTTAAATTCGAATTTTTTGGCTTTTCCCGCCTTAAAATTTCAAAATTCAAATTTAAACTCTGAATTCCGCCACGTGTTGGACACCTGTCGCTGCAACGGTCGGCTGCCCACCCGTCGTTTCGCCTGCCAGTGTACCATCATTGCGCCGCCTCACGCGGCGCAATCTCGAGAAGCCACGTCGCCCATTTCAGCTTCCTTCTCCCTATATAAAGAGCTCCACCCCTCTCCACTTCTCACTTTTTGCAACCTGAGTCTCCAAAGCTTTCACCGGTCGAGTTCTCTTCTTTCGCCTTCCAGCCCTCCGAGTGAAGTAAGTCTTCCCTTCTTTTCTTTGATTTCCTTCCCGGTCATGTCTTCTGTAGGTAGTCTTAGGGTTTCGCCCTCAGAGGACTATTCCTATGAGGACTCAAACTCCTCTTCCTCGACCGGGTCCTCTTCCTCTGACTCCATGCCCGGTCAAGTTCCCAACTCTTCCATTCCTGAGCCGCAGCCTCTTAATCAGATGGCCGTTCAAACGTTCGCGGAGAGGGATGACCCGGTTGACAACGAACCGGGTCCCTATGACCTAGACAACGAGTCCTGGGAGGAGTGGGAAGAGCGGCTTCGCAATGCCGATTATTTTCCACTCTCTACTTATTACGCCCTTGACATCCCTTCCCATGTATCCAAAATTGCCCTGAATAAAATCCGTAGAAGGCTCCTGGATGGGTACACCCTTTTATATGAGCACGACTAGCCTAACATTATTGAACCCCACCGGGAGGATAGGATAGGGTTTCACACCATATCTTTAGACGCGGGCATCGTTTTTCCCCTTCGCCCCCTCCTAACCGAAGTATGCCATGCGTTTAGGATTTTGCCCGGTCAAATAACTCCTAACGCCCACCGGTACCTTCATTCCTTTGTAAATATCTGTTCTCATCTAAAAATCGAGTCCTCCTTGCGTCTTTTCCTTTTTTGCTTTGAAGTCCTACCGGGTGGGACTAGCTGCGAAGGTTTTGTGTACTTCAAAGCCCGCACCGGTAGGAAGTTCATCTCCGACCTCCCCTAGAGTAACCGGGGATGGAAGGAAAAATTCATTTTCATTGAATTTCCCCCCTTTGTCACTCCCATGGCCGATCTGAAATGGAACGACCACCTCCTCAACCAAGAGTACGCCGTACCGGCTTCCTCTCCTGACTTGGAGGCGAACCTTGAAATCCTCATGCGTGGTGATCCTTTCACCGGGAGGATCTTCCATTATGGGAGTTGGGTCTGGCGAAGCACACCGGGTGGTGAGGGTACCTCCCAGGCCCATGAAGCAGCGGGGCGCGGGGTACCCTCCCCGGGCAACACTGCAGAGGCTGAGGGCTATAACCACCTAGGTATTCCTTGATTATCTTGTGCTCTTGTGGTTGACCGGTTGTACCTCTTTAACTATTTCTGTTAATATTTGCAGACATGGAGTTCGAAGAATTCGCCATGCCCGAAGATCAGCCAGAAGGAGAGACCGGTGGTTCTCAGACCGGTGCTGCCAAAACTTTCACGGTCCAACCAGAGACCGTGGAAGTTCATGATTTGGACGAGCCGGAAGATGACCGGTCAAAAGGGAAGGGCAAGGAGAAGGTCGGTCGCCGGCAAAAGAAGGTGGCCACCACCCATCCCTCCTATGCCAAGAAGAAGGCGAGGTCGGATTCTGAGCCGGCCTCCCAGACTATTGAAGAGGCCTTCATCAATATGGGCCTGAGGCTGAAGGAGGTAAGCCTTATTCCCGTACCGGTCGGAACCTTCATTTTTCCTTAGTCGGAGATCAACAGGTTTGTTTACATGTGCAGGCAGGGGAGATCAGGCCTCATACGGCCGAGCAATTGGGGATGGGCTCTCCTTCTGAACTTTCCCGGCTGAAGAAGGAGAAAGAAGAAATGACCATTATCCTGAAGAGCCAGGCAGATGAGTTGACCCGCCTATGTGGTATGGCCGGGACAATGACGGCGGAGATCTCCCAGCTCAAGGAAGAGAACAGCCGGCTCATGGACAAAGTCTCTAAAGCGAAAAAGGAGATATTGCTAAAGGAGGAGAACTTCCCTGGTCGCGCTGCTGCATGGGTGGAGCAGAACAAGGCCGAAGCAGCCCAGGTACTCACGGCGTCTCCGGAGGCGACCATGGAATCCTTCAGGTTCCTCTACCGGGAGCCTGAGGGGAGGAAGATGATCACCGCGATTGGATCCTTTGCATTCAAGAGCGGTCAGAAGAAAGACCGGATTGCCTCCCACCGGGTTTTGCTGAGAAGGGACCCGGAGTTCAGCGCTGCTTCTTATGGACTGGCCCCAATACCAGATGAAGAGCCTACTCCCCCTTTCCCTCTAGATTAGGATCTCCCCGGCTGCGACCAGTTGTTTTGTAAACTTAAACTTTCTCTATTTCCCCGGGTATGCCCGGTGTATTTTGTAAACAATTAACATTCAACTTTCGAAGTTCAAATGCATGTTTACTTTCTAACCCGGTCATTCTTGCTCCTTCAAATATTTCTTGTTTGCTCTTGTTCTAGCTACCTTACTTTAACTGGTAGACTTTCCATCTGATAGATATCTTCCTGTAGAACTTCAACTTTCGCTCTTAGATGTCTTTATTTGATCAACTCAGATAATCTTGACCGGTTGAACTTCAATTTTCTGCTTGCCTCTTGATAGACTCCTGCCGGTAGAACTTGCCTCTTGCTTTTAGGTATCTTCATCTTGATGGTCAACTTGAAAAAGTTTGACCGGCTGAACCTTATTTTGGCATTTGGATACCTTCTTCGATAAAGTACAGTTTGACCGGTATGGTCTCACTCTATGATTTGACCGGTCAACTGCCTTGACTCCTTTTTGGCAGTTTACCCTTTCTTCGATCAAGTATAGTTTGACCGGTAGGTCCCCCTTTTATGGTCTGACCGGTCAACTGCTTCGCCTCGTAGAACTTTCGAAGTTCCGTTGTTTCAATACCCAACCGGGGTATTCTTTTTTTTTTTTTTTGACCGGTAGGTTGTAGATGGAAGCACCTGTAACCTAGTTATTTCTTGAAGTATCCTTAACCGGTAAGAATACTGGAGATTTAACCATGTCGAATGGTTTCGAACCCTCTCCAAGGTCCAAATGCACCCTTTTTCCAGGGCCCCCTCTTCCGGGTGATTAAGTCTTTTAATGGCCCTTTGATTTCTACCATCCCGGGAAGGCCTTAGCTCACCCCCCGTTCAAGTCTTCCCTGAGAAGGGGGAAATAGGATGCGCCACGGTGGACGATCCTCTTCTATTTCTTTTAATGGGCATCTTTTAGTCCCCAATCAATTTGACGGCGCCGGCTGATTCCCCGACACCGGTCAAACCTCATGGGCCCGTGTAAGTACGGTTCGAACCCTCTTCCAGGTCCAGCCCTCTTGCAGGCATACCCCTCTTCCGGGGCCCCTCTTCCGGGTTTTAATATTTTTTCTATTATACTGAGCAAGACCGGTGTAGTAACCAGCGTGCCAGGGGCCTGTGTCTCAGTTGGCTTATCCAAGTGGATTCGATCCACTCGGGAAGCCCTCCTAGGATAGGTTCGACCTATCATTTTTGTTGCTGCCATGTAGAATGTTGAATGTCATCAATTTGATTGATAATAAAAGTAGGCCTCGCCTAGTGTTACAATCACTTGTAGAATTTTCTCAAATGATAAGAATTCCAAGTTCTCTCTACCGGTACACCATCCAAAGTTTCTAACCAGTAGGTCCCCGGGCGAATGATTGCTTTCACCCGGTAAGGTCCTTCCCAGTTCTTGGCCAATTTTCCTCCGTCACATGGTCTGCTAGCCTCTCGTTTTCGCAGGACTTCATCTCCGGCTTGGAAGTAACGCGGTCCAACCTTGTTGTCATGGTACTTCTTCACGACTTGTTGATATGTGCTCATTTTAACTTCCGCGGCCATTCTTCGTTCTTCGACTAAGTTGAGCTCGGCCAAGTGGTCTTCTTCATTTTGTTGTGGTTGATAATTTGATTCCCGGAAAGTTGGGAATTTAGCTTCGATGGGCAGCCTTGCTTCACACCCATAGGTTAGGGAGAACGGAAATTCCCCATGAGCCCTCCTAGGTGTTACTCGGAATGCCCATATGATGTGCGGAAGTTCCTCAAGCCACTTGTTTCCTGCTTCTCCCAACCGTTTCTTTAGACCATCCACAATCGTTCGGTTGGCGTTTTCAACTTGGCCATTTCCTTGGGGGTAGGCCACCGAAGAACGATTGTGCTTGATTCCGAAGCCCTCCAAGTATTCAGTGAATCTTGGATTTCTGAATTGCGGGCCGTTGTCAGTGATGAGGTTCATGGGAGCTCCAAACCTTGTGATGATGTTCTTCCAAATGAATTTCTTGCACTGCTGCGTGGTAATGTTGGCCAACGCTTCGGCTTCGATCCATTTGGTGAAGTAATCGATGGCCACGATTACAAACTTCTTCCTTCCTTGGGCAATTGGGAATGCTCCGATGATATCAACCCCGAATCTAGCGAATGGGATGACGTTCGATACGGGGTGATAGTAGGTCGCCGGTCTACCGGGGTATTTGTAGAATACCTAGCACGTTCTGCATTTCTGAACGTACCTCTCACAGTCCTGGACAATTGTTGGCCAGTAGTATCCCAGTAATATGATACGTTGGGATAGAGTACGGGACATTTGATGCGCTGCGCACACCCCTTCATGGACCTCAGCTATGACTCTTTCGGCTTCCGGGTTAGTTAGGCACCTTAGGAGGGGTCCCCCGAACGCCCTCTTGTACAACTTCCCATCAAGGACTTGGAACCGGGGTGCCCTGAGCTTCACTTTTCTTGCCCGGTCATCTTGCTCTAGAAGGCTTCCATCCATCAAATATTCCATCAGATCGAACATCCAATGGTCGTCTTCCCCGACCAGGTTTGACCGGTCAGATTGTCCTTCAGCTGTTATAGTGGCGACTTCCAATTTTTCGACGCTGGCTCGATCCAGGATTTCCACCCGGGCAAGTTTTGAAACATGCTCGGGAGCATACTGCATCAATTTGGAGAGGAGGTTTGCATCTGCATTTTCCGCCCGGGGAATTTGGGCGATCTTGAATTCCTCGAAGCTTTTTAACAAGGCAAGTACCAGGTCCTTGTATTGCGCCATTCGTCCTTCCCTTGCTTCCATATTACCGGTCACTTGCCCAACAATCAAACTAGAGTCAGATTTGATACTGACCCGGCTGATTTTAAGAGCTTGGGCAAGTCTGAGCCCTCCAGCCAGAGCTTCATATTTTGCCTCGTTGTTCGTCAGCTTGAAGTTGAAGACGAGTGCATGGTAGATCTTGAACCCTTCTGGGGTGGTAAACACTATACCACCCCCGTACCCTTTAGGACCAGATGCCCCGTCTACTGCCATCTCCCACCACTGCTCAGTGGGTTTGTTGACCGGTAGGTCTGGAGTCAGACCGGTCATTTCTACCAGGAAGTCTTCAAGGGCTTATCCTTTGGTTGCTGACCTTGGCCGGTACTCAATGTTGAATTGAGTTAACATCATTGCCCATTTCACCATCCTCCCAGAGGATGTTGAATTTCGCAAATGCCCTCTGGCACTCTCCAGTCAGTCAAGACTTCCACCGGGTGAGCTTGAAAGTAGGATGTTAACTTTTTTGCGGAGATGAAAAGCGCATAGGCTGTTTTTTCCATCACCGTATATCTACTTTCTGCTTCGTTTAGTGCTTTGCTCACATAATAAATGGGCTTTTGTGCCCCATCATCTCTTATTAAAACGGAGCTTAGAGCATTTGGGGAAATTCCCAGGTACAGATACAGAGTTTCACCCGGTTCGGGTTTAGACAATACAATATCCGACACTAGGTACTCCTTCAGCTCCTCAAATGCCCTCTGGCACTCTCCATCCCATGCAAACGTGTTGGCCTTCTTCAGAACTTTGAAGAAGGGCAGGGATCTCTCAGCTGACCGGGAAAGGAACCGGCTGAGGGCCGCTAGACGACTGGTCAACTTTTGAACATCCCTAACGGAGGTAGGGGCTTGCATTTCAATGATGGCCCGGATTTTTTCTGGGTTGAGCTTTATTCCTCTCTTGGTCACCATGAATCCCAAGAACTTCCCGGTACGAACCGCGAAGACGCATTTCTTAGGATTCAACCGGAGGTTGTATTTTGCCATGATATCGAATGTGGCACGCATATCAGCCGGGTGGTTGAGAGATACCTGGCTTTTGATCAGCATGTCGTCGACGTATGCCTCCATGGTCTTCCCAAGTAGCGGTTTGAAGAGTTTGTTGACTATGCGCTGGTAAGTGGCCCCAGAGTTCTTCAAGCCAAACGCCATCACCCGGTAACAATAGGTTCCCTCGGGTGTGAGGAATGACGTCTTTTCCTCATCTTCTTTTGCCATGTAGATTTGGTGGTAGCCTTTGAAGGCGTCCATAAAACTTAGGAGTTCGCACCCCGCAGTTTCGTCCACCATTTGATCAGGACTGGGTAGGGGGTATGAATCCATCGGACAAGCCTTGTTTAAGTCCGTGTAATCCACACACATCCTACATGTGTCGCCCTTGGGAGCAAGGACAACGTTGGCCAGCCAATCCGGGTGCTTAACTTCCCGGACGTGACCAACACTGAGGAGATCCTTCACTTCTTTCTTGACGAAGTCTCACCGGTCACTGGCCAGGTACCTCTTCTTCTGGCGTACCGGTCGACTTCCATCCCTTACCGCCAGCCGGTGACAGATGATTGAGCGGTCAATCCCAGGCATATCTGCCACGCTCCAGGCAAATATGCCCGCGTATTCTTGGAGGACCCGTGTAATCTCCGTCTTGAGATCTTCTAGGAGGTTTGCTCCAATTCTGACCATCCTTGATGAATCACCCAGGTGAAGTTCGATCTCCACCGTTTCGGCTTCCGGTTCAAGTTTCTCCCGGGTATCTTCCTTTTTAATTTCTTGGGAGATGACGTTGATCCCCTTGGTCATCTTCTTGACTGCCCGGGCATAGCATTCCTGGGCGTTCCTCTGGTCGCCCTTCACTTCACCCACACCACCTGGAGTGTGGAACTTCATGCATAGGTGAGGCATGGAAATCACCGCCCCGACCTTGTTGATGCCATGCCTTCCAAGGATTGCGTTGTAGACGCATTTGATGTCCACAACGATGAATCGCATTTTCTTCCATACGCTCTTCTCGCCCGATCCTAGTTCGACCAGTAGAACTATGGATCCCTCAGCTTCAATGGTGTCTCCCGTGAAGCCTGAGAGAGGAGTTTTGAGGGGTTCAAGTTGTGTCCGACACAACCTGAGTTTTTGAAAAGTCTCCAGGTATAAGATGTTGACACTACTGCCGGTGTCAACAAGTACCCGGGCGACATCCACCCCATTAATGTCCATGGTGATAACCAATGGATCATTATGATCTTCACCGGTAAGCGGGAGATCCCGATCAGTAAAGACGATCGGCTCCCTCCTGGTATGTTTACGCCTGGCCGGTTCAACACTTACCTCACCAACGTAAATGCTGCGGACCCAATTCTTCCGTTGCGCGGCTGAATCTCCACCTTCAGGTGCCGAAGATCATTCCGATATGCTCTTTCTCAGGGGCAGGTTGTTGCTCCCTCGGCCGGTTATTCCTCCGCCGGTCGTTGTCCCGGTCATTCCCCTGGGCTGCTGGCCTAATCCATTGGTGGCTCTTCTCCTGGGCCTTTTGCAAATAATCTTTGCCCAGTTCTCCGCTGTCTATCATCTGCCGGATTACTCCCTTAACACTCTTGCACTCGGAAGTGTTATGGGAATCTGACCTGTGGTATGAACAATACGTGACTTGGATGGATTCCTCAAGCATCTCCAGCAATCCTCCTCTGATCTTGGTCGCTACGGTCCAAACCACACCGGGTAATTTCTGAGGGATGAGTTCATCGAAATTAGGGAATGAATAGAGTGATAAAGTCGTTTGACCGGTATACTTTTCCTCGAAGTACACCGGTCATATTCGGACCCATCAAATATTGGTTTGCCGACGATTAAAGTCCCCTTCCTGAACTATCAAGATTGACCGGTCAACTTATTTGGTCTTTTCCTTTGACCGATCATGGGTGGAATACACCCATCAGAAACATACATGAGGGGATTAAAGCTACTAAAATAGGGATCATAATCAAAATTTAGAAATTGGTTCAATCATGGTATTGGTCTAGCAAGAAAGCTCAAAGGATAGCTAGTGATGGAGAAATTGAGGCCTTAAACCTTAAGATTTTCCTTCCTAGAAACTGAGTTTCTTGTTCGGTAGAAGAATTAGAAGAAGAATATAGGGGTGTTAATGTGCATCTCTATAGCTTCTTTTTATTTGCACTTTGGTTCTTTTTGGTGTGATTTTTTATTTTTGTATCTTGTTGTGCCTCCCATTCAACACACTCTAGCAAGTCATATTGGATAGTCAGTCATCTCAAGCCTTTCGTCCATGCCCAACTTAGCCCCTACAGAGCTGCCCATACTCCAGCAAAAGTTGAATGTGTGGTACTGCATGAACACATAAAACCTCCTATCCAATTTCCGTCATGACACCTTAATGCTCCTCCGCAACCCGCATGTTTCGAATTTGTGCTCTCATTTATACTTAAACACAATACGTCGCTATCTAGTTTCTGCCAATGGACATGTAGTGTACGTTCTTCATCTGGCGGTTTGTCAATAACACATTGTAACATAGTTATTAGTGATAAGAAAAACATGTTTCTTAGTTTTTTATAGTAATTTTCAAGTCAATCGCCCGTGCCTCAATAATATTGGAAGATTGGGACAAATATTAATATTAATAATAATAATAAATTACAATTGAAATAAATGATCTGATTTTTTTATTTTAAAAAATAATTTTAGTGTCCTTTTTACACTATAATTACAAATTTTATTGTTCCTCACAAACATGACCTAAGAACTAATGGCGTTAAATATTGTTAGGAATTACTCCGTACTAATGTGATACCCGAGTACAATTTGCCTTTTCCCTAATTACTCAAAAAATGGTTAAATAAAACAAAAATAATACTTAAACTACTTCATTAAAAAAATCACTCAATTAAGTAAAAAAAACTAAATTCAGATATAGTGTTACTACTAGATATCCGTCACATGCACATTTATAAGTTACCAGGGTCGGCCCTGAAAAATGAAAAAATAAAATTGGTTCGGTCCAAAATTTACATTTTGGGTCTTATTTTATTTTTTTTGAATACTTATGCTTTAAAATTAATGCCGAATTTAAAAATATGAGACCCTATAATTTTAGGAGCCCTGTGCGATTGACTACTTTGCATACCCTTCGAACCACTCATGTAAGTTACATCCTGCTACATCATGCATTTTTAATACAGAGTAATAATAATAATAATAATAATAATAATAATAATAATAATAATAACAAGAACACAACAACAACAACAACAATAAGAATAATAATAATAATAATACAATAATAATAATATAAAAATGCAAATATTTTTTCAATGTTTAAAGAACTTAGGAATCAAAAGAAATTGCATAAGTTGACAGAAAGTAGAATAAACATAAAAAAACAGGAAAGAATTAATAAAGTGCTAGTAAAATATTAAGACTTGAGAGTTACAACTTTGGTGAACAAAACTTTTAGTCATAAACTCATTTCTGTATTATACATTTTTACAATATTTTGGAGTTATGAAAATACAATTTTACCCCTATTGTACTCGCATGCACCCCAAACATTTAAATAGTACTCGCTGTAGCATAGAGTAGACATTTTCTGAATGAATCTGATTTGAACGGATCTCATTAGAATGGATTTGATGATCTGAATGGATCTGATCTAATCTAATCTAAGTGATATTAATTAAAATTATTATTAATATAATACAATAATAATTGTTATTATTAAATTTTTTTATTATTATTGAAATTATCATTATTAGTTTAATGATTATATTTATTAATATCATTATAATTAATTATTATTATTGTTTCAAATATTTAGTGTTATGATTATTGATGATTGTTATCATTATTAATCAAAATGTATGATAATAATAATTTATTATTAATTTTTTTAATAAGTATTATTAATAGTATTACAATACTTTTTTTATTATTAATAATTATAATGATAATTATTAATTATTTATTACTATAATTTTTTTAATAATTCTATTTATTATTATTATTATCATTATTTTTATTATTAAGTGTTGTGATTAATGATGATGATTATGGTTATTAATTATAATTTATAATAATAATAATTTTAGTAAGTATATTTAATAATATTAATTATTTTTTGTAATTTTTATTAATAATATTAAAAAGTATAATTTTTATTATTAGTAATTATTGTAGTTATTAATTATTACTCTCTATTATTTTAACTATTATATTTATTATTATTATAAATAATTATTATTATTAATATTAAGTGTTATGATTAATGATGAAAATTTTCAATAATTATTTTTATATTTACAAATAAATATTATTATGAATTTTTATTATCATTATTATTAATCATTATTCGTTAAAAAATTATTACCATGATTATTGTTTTGGATTTAATCATTATTATTTTAATTATTATTAATTACTATTAATAATGATTAACATTATTATTATTTAATAATGATAATAATAATTATTGTTATTATTTTAATTATTAGTACTATATTAATACTATTTATTTTTTAAATAGTTTTGAATCTGAATTGATCTGAATCTGATAAGAATAAGCAATAAAATAATAGAAATAAGCTGAAGAGAACGACACCTAAGTTATGACTTAAGTGGGAAGTGACTATTCCCCAATCTGGCATCATCAATTCATAGGATATCCAATGAACATTTTAAAATTTTTCTCTCAGTTTTCTTATAAACCCTACCAAATCAAAACACCCCAATCTGTTCAAACTAGCTTTAAACGATATTGTTAGGTTAAGTGTGCCGTTAATAACAAGTCCCAAAGGTGAGTGCCCTATAAACTAAAGGCCACTACAAGTGAAGTTGGGATCTAGCATGGGTGATGTACAGCTTCAACTTCCCCAGCTCCTCAATGACACAAGCAAGCTCTACCCAAAAAAAAAAAAAAACATAAATGAACAATATTAGTAGCTCAATAACCGATATTCGGCATCTGATTTGCACGAAGGTTTCTCTTCTCTTAACAGTTTACGATAGCTGCCTCAGTTGTAGTCAATAGTAGAGACACACTGCAAAAAAGAAGTGTCTTTGTCTGAGTCAAGCATTCATAGAATTTGAAAAGGATATAAATGTTGCATCGCCATTCTTATTCTAACCTAGCAGCATCCATCAAAGCTGTTCGAACCACTTTGAGAGGATCCATAATTCCAGCGCATACCATGTCCACGTATCGATCTGCACAAATCATGGGAATCATAGTTATGTAATCAAATTGTGTGTGTGTGTGTGTGTGTATGTGTGTGAGAGAGAGAGAGAGATCAGTCTATATTTTCTTGATATATCTTAAGGTCTGCTTGATGGAGGGCATTGGAGGGACAAGTCAAGATCTTGATATATGCATGAAATTTTGATAAAAGTTGAAGATCAACACAATATGTAATTATATAACATTTCAATTAGAGAACATTTTAATTGTTTTTAAAACACATTCATTCCTTAAAATATTGACTAGGATGCCTTACAAACCCCTCCATCCACACCGACCCTTGGGCACAAACCTTTGGCTGCATCATAGCCGAAATTAAGGTCGTCTTGCTCCAACAGCTTGCCAATAACCAACGAACCATCGACACCAGCATTTGAAGCAATTGTGAAAGCAGGTGCCTGTTGTAAGAAAACACAAATCCATTCACAGCATAGAACGTAACACTTTTTTTTCTTATCTTTTTTTTTGTTGTTGAAAATTTGTGGTAAAAACAAACTACCATGGTGAAACACACCTTAAGAGCATTTTCAATTATCTGAACTCCTATTCTTTGACTTTCATTTGCAGTCTCAAGGTCTTTCAGAACTCTTGTCGCATGTAACAGCGCAGCGCCCCCACCTAAGTACACCAACACCAAAGTTTCAATTAGAAAGTTAAAACTGACTGATAGAATACACACACACACACACACACATAGGTGTTTTTTGTTGCATCTACGGAATGCCAGTCATAAGAGATGCTCAGACTTTGAACTTATGAAGAATGCCATTTGAAAAAGTAAATTGAGTGGAAAAAAGATAGAATCAGTTTTTATATAGGGAAAACCTTCAATTAGCCATTTACAAACAGCACATGCCAATACATGGGGTAAAAGGCAATGATAAATGCCCCCGTTGTATATTTTTATGTACCTGGAACAATTCCCTCTTCCACAGCAGCCTTTGTTGCATTTAAAGCATCTGTAACCCTGTCTTTCCTTTCCCCAACTTCAACCTCACTCACCCCTCCAACCTGAAAATCCATACAAAGGGTAAAATTAAAAGTAAAGGAAGCAA